AGCATTATTGAGGCCTGGTCTGTATACAATGTCAAAATTGTATGCAGCAAGGGCTGCTAGCCATCGGTGTCCTGTGGCATCAAGTTTAGCTGAGGTGAGTACATAAGTAAGAGGGTTATTATCTGTGTAGATGGTAAAAGTATTACCATACAGATAATCATGAAACTTTTCAGTCACCGCCCACTTTAGTGCTAGAAACTCAAGGCGATGAGCTGAATAGTTTCCCTCTGATTTGCTAAGTCCTCTACTTGCATAGCTGATGACTCGCTTGACGCCATCTTGTTCCTGGTACAGGACCGCACCAAGTCCACATGTGCTCGAATCTGTGTGCACCTCAAACGACTTGCTGTAATCTGCATATCCAAGAATTGGGGGTGAGGAAAGAAGGTCCTTGAGTTGATTGAAAGCTGATTCTTGAAATGGTCCCCAATGCCATGGCTTATCAGTACTTGTAGTTGTGCTCTTCTTTCCATGGTTCTTGCATCTTGTGCCAGGCATTAAGGAGGTCAAAGGTTTGGCAATCTTTGCAAAATCTCGTACGAACATGCGGTAATATCCTGCAAATCCTAGGAACTTTCGAATTTCCTCAGGATTTGTAGAAGGCCAATCCCTGATTCTTTGCACCTTATCCGGATCAGCTTCAATACCATGCTCCGAGACAACATGACCAAGAAACCTGATCTTTGTCTTAAAGAAAGAACACTTGTCTGGTGTGAGCTTCATTCCTGTCTCCCTCACTCTCTGAAGGATCTGTCCAAGACGGTCCAGATGTTCTTCATATGTTGGTGAGAACACTATGATGTCATCCAAGTAGATTAAACATATTTTGAGGTGGAGTCCATCAAAGCACTCTGCCATGAGCCTCTGATATGTTGCTGGGCTATTACAGAGTCCGAACGGCATACGGTTATATTCGTAGAAACCTACTAGACCAACAGTGAAAGCTGTTCTTTCCTTGTGGTATTCCTCAATCTCTACTTGGTGATAGCCGCTTTTAATATCCAACGTGCTGTAGAACTTGGATCCTGAAAGGGCATCAAACATCTCTTCTATGCGCGGCAAAGCATAAGAGTCCTTTATGGTCTGTTGATTGAGCTGTCTGAAGTCCACGCACATGCGCAGCTTTCCACTTTTCTTGCGCACCAATACAACATTAGATGACAACGGTTAAAAGGACTGACGGATGATGCCACTTGCAAGAAGTTGTTGGAGATGCTCCTACACTTCTTGGTACATGGCTGGTGGAATTCGTCTGTGCCTCTGCTTAAAAGGTTGTTCATTCTCCAGGTCAATCATATGCTTCACTGTTGTCACATGCCCAATGTCCTGTTCTCCAATAGAAAATACATCTAGAAACTGTGAAATAGTTTCCTTTCCAAGCCTGAGCTGTTCAGGTGTAACTGCAGCCTCATTGAAATCCATTAAGTCCATGACCTGTTGACCTTCACCTTGAGGAAATGTATCAGCTGGAAGATCCTCAATGGAGACAACTTGTAGTTCACATAGCAGGGCACGGGTTGGAATAGACACAGTTCTTGTGGTGACATTGGAGACATGAACTGGAACCATGATCTTCTCATCATGATGGAAATTGACAAGTGTAGGGGCAATGTCTAAATCAGATGGGATGGCAGAGTTTTTAGTCGGTTGTACAACAGCACACGTGTCTTTGTAGGCGATAGGCTTCTACAAGTATCCTTGGATAACTCTCTCGGTGTTAGGTGGTATAGGTAAAACAATTGTGTTCAGCACTTCGAATCTGACCTAATGAGTAGTTGTGTCGTGCCAGTTCCCTGTCTTGTAAGAGCATATTACGGAACGCCATATACCATGGGGTATGAATATCAGCCTTTTGAAGAAATTTATTTCCATACTGTTGCTTACATTCATCCATGTAGCAAGATAGGATATTTGTACCTAACAGCACCGGAACGGTGGTGTTGTAAGGGGTATCAGGGACAACTAACATAAGACAAGGAAGCTTAGCTGAGGTTGCACCTGTACCCTGAACGTCAACTTCTATATACCCGTGCTAAGGTAGATGCTGGCCATCTGCACACTCTATCTTCAGAATGGCATCTAGTCGCTGTAAAGGTGTAGCTGATAGGGACTGAATGTAGAGACTATGGGAAACTGTTGACACTGTTGACCCAGTATCTAACAGGGCTCTTGTCTCTATACCATTAACGAAAGCTGTTCCTTCATTAGGTTTACCCATCAGCTTGGATACCTGCTGATTACAGTTGGGTGGGCGTCTGTGTTCAAAGCCTACGGTTTTCCCCGTCCCATAGGCATCTTCCTGTTTAAAGAAACCCTGAAGTGGTCCAGTCTCACTCGACATCCATACTGTAGGTGTCCTGGCTGTTTACATCGGAAACAAATAGGCTCCTGGGTATATGGATGTCTTGAGGGTTGCTGATCCTGAGGAGTTCCTGTTGTTGCTTGATGCCACCTTCTAAACCTGAGTTCCTGTAGGGGGTAGTGACCAATGATGCTCCTGAGGTATGGATTGTGGATGCCAGTACGAATCTGATCCACATGGTGTAGTAGCTCTCTAGCGGTTGTGTTGGTATTGCCAGGGTGTAGTGTTATCAGCTGGTTGAATATCCCTCTGCTTCCTCAGCTCAGCAACTTCAGTTGATAACTGTTTCAAGATCCCCTTGATCTCCTTCATCTCTGGATCCTGGGCTGCTACAGTGGCCATATTGGGAGTTACGCTCTTCTTTCCTGTTCTGGCTCCTCGCTGCTGCAGGTCAACCTCTGCTCTTCGAAGGGCTCGTAGAAGATCTGCGTAACTGCTACCCTGGTCAAATATATTGCTGTGAGATCTCGAAGATCTGGCTTGGATCCTGACCACAGCTGGGTCCTCAACATCTCTCCTCTGTTTTCCTGTGGAATGGATCCCTGTGTTGCCGCCTGGTTCAGTAGGTGCTCCAACCTACAATCCCATATTGCGACTTCTTCTGTCTCTCCCTGGCGTGCACCATAAAAACAAGCTAACAATGACTGGTTCCTGTCAACACTACCGAAAATGCTTTCCAACTTGGAGTTGGGCTGCTGTAAGTCTGCTTTGGGACCAAGGCACATGGCAATAGAGGCTGCCTTCCCACGCAAAGAGTGCTGTACAGTATTGGCGACAGCCTGCAGAGACAATGATTTGTTCTGTAACAAACATTGGACTTGATACTTCCAGACGTCAAAAGATGTCTCACCCTTCTGTTCACCTGAGAAGGATGGTAACCTTGGGGCTTGTGTCAAGGTAACTGGTGTAGGACAACTTGAAGTAGGAGATTGATTCTCCAAATGTCCAAGAAAAGATGCACCTTGAGGCTCATCTTCAACCTTGACCTTGGTCTGAGTATAGCTCTTCATCCACTGTACTAGGTCCTCTGGGCTATCAGCTTTAGGCCAGGCATTAAGTGCCTTGAAAGCTCCAATGAGGTTCTTTACCTCCTCTGGAGTTGGTTCACTCATAGCAAATGGCATGAAGATAGGACATAAACTCAAGAGAAGTAGGATAGTGAGTGAGTGAGTGAGTATGGTTTTACGCCGCTTTTAGCAATATTCCAGCAATATCATGGCGGGGGACAGCAGAAATGGGCTTCACACATTGTATCCATGTTGGGAATTGAACCCAGGTCTTCGGTGTGACGAGCGTACGCTTGAACCACAAGGCTACCCGACCGCCCCAGAAGTAGGATAGGTAAAGAGGTTGCTAAGCTAATGACCTAATGAAAAAATAGAAACAAATTAGCTAAAAACAAAACAGTGGGCAAGTGAATTGCAAAAGTGTTAGTTGTGCTTCAGTGCTGATGATGGTCATGTATTTGGCCAAAGGGCAAGGGAACGCCCTCGGGGTATGCAACTGTAGGCTAAGACGAGACCTACATTAGCATATCAGCCTTGATATCAAAACATCAAAACAAAGACCCAATCAAACCTGAGCCATGAAACTATAGACTTAAACGCCAGGAAAATAAACCATGATCATTGCGTACTTAAGCAACTATACAACTATGCGAACATCAATGTCCCAACAGCAATATCGTAAGCAATTAAACAACAACGCCTATTTATGATGTTAAACTAAATTCAATGTTGGTCTGTTTGAACTAATGTTTAATTGCACTTTATTTGATTTATCACAGAAACATTCAAGCATTCATGTATATTGTGACTTCTTACTCACGCACACAATCATACCGGTAAGAGCTGAGGTTTTTCAACCACTAAATAACAGCTAAACTGATATGGTTCACTACTGCAGTGTATGAGAGCTCATTCTAAGTCTAAACATTTGCAAAACATGCATATGACACATAAAAATTGGCCATGAAATACAGTGCACGCAGGCACAACACGGGTATATTCAGTAAAAGGTACAATGATTCCGAACATGTTCAAAGTCGACTTAAATTCAACAATGATGCACCTTAAATGTACATAAAATCTGTATACCAGTAAGCGTTCACAGAACCACTGGTTACAAAAGCTTGTGATGACATCAATACTATATAGACATAGTTCAAACTGCACTTAAGTGTCTCTGTATCTGCAGATGGCAACATATATGTTGCTATATCACAGGAAAAACAAACATATCTCACATCACGGTATTCCCAAGGATGACGTCATTCATTTATGCTTACTTTCATTCATTCATATATGCTTACTTTCATTCATTCATTTATGCTTACTTTCATTCATTCATATATGCTTACTTTCATTCATTCATATATGCCTACCTACATTCATTCATACCATGCATGCTTGCTAAGCCTTACCTCTTATATCACAAGTAACCTCTATTATTTCTAAAACTACTAATCTTACTTTTTAGTTTAATGCTTATACATGTTTTAATGAATGTAGGATACTTATTTGGTTGTTAAACTCAATAATAATTACAAATCTACATTCCGTGTATTCGTGTCTAAACAAACATATATCCAAATACAAACAATATCTACAATATTGCAGATACAATTCAATGAATAAAATCCTCAGTTCACTAATAAAATACTAACCTTGGAATTTGATCTAAGGTTCCTCAAAAACGATCCTTGTGAAAAAACATGTGCATATATATATATCTTTATCCGTGGAGAGGTAAATGTGGAGTGGCCGCAGTCCTTAGGTGTCCAACATACAGCATGGCTGAGTACCCAAGCTGGCCATATAGACAAAAGGCTTGAGTAGGGAGAAGGCTGGGGCTATTGTATTAGTTCACAGGGTGTGACATTCACAAACAAACCATGTAGTAAGCATGCTTAGTAAGAGTGCTGTGACTGATGGTTTAGTGTTTAAAGTAGGCTGAGCAATAAAATAAAATGACTACAACTGCATTTAATTATGTACATGAATTATACTTAAAAGGTAAAATACAAGAAATAGTCAAAATATGTAACTGCCACACATATTTATATATTAATTACAACTTTCTATCCTCAAAATCATTACTATCAATAACAAATGCTTTATAGTACTGTACCTGATCTTCTAAATGTCCTCTTATGAGAATGCATCACACCATCTTATGCCATGCTGTTAGATGGATGTTTCGCATACGCATCAGTATGGAGTATGATGACGTTATTGCAGCCACTTTATTGAGTGGAATTTCACCATCCATACATCCAGTTACAGTGGACATTACAGCCAACAAGAATGGTGCCCTAATAAAACAGAATGAAACTAGCAAATTATGAACTATATTTTGATGCCTTCTATGTTCTCAGAATAAGGGCTGTTTCTTCAGTACAAAAAAGCAGGATTACTTAGCAAATGAACAACACAGTGATCTTGCCATATATTTTTGGTAAACATAGTCAAAGGTACATAATTCATTCTAGAGGAGTTTTAGTGTAACCAAATAAGCTCCTCTTCACATAACACTGTTATCACCTGACATGCATAAGTATTCAAATAAAATAACCACTACATATAAAAGACTGCAAGAAAGACATTATAACCCATTAAATAGAGGTCACTTGTTCTTTCATTTTCAGGTAAGCTAAAAAATTATGAAGAAAAGGCAAATTAGTGTAGCTGACAAGGTAAAAACATCACACCATAAAAAGAAACATGTCATTTCAGTTTATATGAGCTAAAAGTTGAGGGATTCAACCAATGTTTTGGTAACTTTTGTACTCAAGCTTATATTAAAACTAGTATTATATTACTCATATAACAATCATGATAAAAGTTTTATTACAATTAAAACATGACATTTTTCCCCCCAAACATTACCTCATATTGTAAATTCATTCATCAAATTAGATTACCTTTTTTTCATCTCCTGAAATACCTGACCTATAAAGTCATGGCTATCTGTAAGATTCTGCAGACTTGATTGCTCCCTGAGAACCATTGGAGATGATAATGATGATAGCTCTTGACAGTCTGACTGTAGCTGCTGTATCACTCTCTCGTTTATTTTATTTCTTGAACTGGGGTGGGACAAAAGTAAGGTCACAACTTGCTCCAAGTCCTCAGATGCAAATGCTTGCATTAGTCCATGTAAATATGTCTGCTGTGGCTGTTTCCCAACTTCAGCTCTAAACAGCGAAAAATACTTGTACCATTGTTGTATTTTTTTCATATATCTTATTCCATTACTCATCTGATAGAAATACTAATTTTTTTTATATATTTCAGTTTACACTTTTGATAAATGTAGATGGCTTCTGTAGTTATTTAAATTAAAGAAGACATTAACTTTCTCCTATCAAATAACATTTTTATCTCTTCAAAACATAAAGTAGAATTGGTCCTATTAGATACTTAATTTCATGTATGTACCATGAGTTGAAAATGTAGATGGTAGCTTTTGTTTTGGTGGCAAATCCAAACAATAGTTGTGTTCACCAACTGCAGCCTTTGGTTTTTCTTCGGGTTCAGTCCCTAAAACAAATAGACAACAATATCAGGTAAGCAATCATCAGGACAAGCATGAGTACAATAGTTGCAAAGGAAATATTGTATTACGCATAAATGATATGTGAAACACATTTTTTCCAATAATTTATTAATATAGCTTATTTCATTTCAAGACATTTACAAACATTATTATTTACTCAAAGTATTTTCTATTACTCTAATAATATTATGTGTAATATACCACAAGCCATTTACCAGTAGAACAGATTTTGGTACACGGTGAGGCTGCATAAATGTGTTCAGCTTCTTTTTGCACAGAAAAAGATGATGCTATATTCAAAAATAAGAAAATACATATTAGGCCAATGGAAATTTATGTATTTTAAAGATATGACAAAGGAAAACTAATTCTTAAATTAATCTACAGCTAAATCACATTACTTCCTTATACAACCAAAGTTCCTTTCAAATTTCATATTCACAGTAGAATACAGTACAAATGTAGTATCAGTATCTCTAACTCTGTATGTATCTATCATCTGTGAAAAAAGGGAGAAATAAGCCATACCATCTGATTCTTCATTATGGGAAGCAGGTGAACTTCTCTTGTTTTCAGTGTAACTTGTGGCATTCTTTTTGCACCTGGAAAGGTCAATGTTTAACTCTGTGAATGTAAATGATACTTCCAATCATTTAAATGTAGGAGCTGACACTGCCTAGTTACAAATTGTCTGGTAATACACAATTCTGGTAAAACATCATCAATCACGACACACATATATTTTTTCAATATAAAGGGCCCAATGACCCAAACTACAAATATTGGTATTACATAACTATTAGTGCAGTGTTAGGTCATTTTAACTGCACCAGTGTAACATAACTAGTAATTATTTTTAAATACAGAGTACAAATATGTACAGTATGAGAAACAGATGCATCTATGTACCTAGCTTCCTTCAATGTACACTTTGAGAAGAGCTGACATAACTTACTTAAGAAGTTTCTTATATTAAAACATATCAATCATTATTTAAGGAAAGGTGTTCCTTTAACATAAAAATTTAAACACAAAAAATAACATTTTTATTTTGCACTAAAGTTATTTTTGTTGTTGGAAAACATACAACATTAATAATAATAAGGATATTAACACAAGAATATATTATTACATCACAAAGTAAGAATACACGCAGTGAATAAGTATTCTCGATGTGTTTGCCTTTGACCGGAATCGAACCGAGTCTAAAGATTACTCTTTCAGACTACTATTCAAAAGCTTCATTGTATCTAATTTCAATGTTAAAAAATGTACACTTTGTTTGAATGCAAATCAAAGGGTTAACCCATCATCAGCGTCAGAAACTCACACAAGTCCTTCAGTCCTTGCCAAAACTGCCCAATTGTTAAGGTATCATAACGACTAGTAGAAATTTGCCATTTATAAATGTTAATAAACTTGCTGAAATAGTATATGTGTGAACATTCTACACTTTCTAAAAACATAAATGTATGCAAATATAAAAGGGCACTCACTGTAAATTACGATGAAAGCAATACCAGTCGGTCTTGCTTCAGCCATCAGAGGATGTTGAGCTCCAGCAATGCAATAATATGTTTTACACTTCTTACCCCTGCCTGCTGGATTAATTTTAGCATAAGGCGCTCTAAAGAGGGTGGGTGATTTCAAACAGTCGGTGCCTCATTAAACAAGGGCCAATTGAAGAAATATTTTGCACATTTATTCCTGATAGAAAACTACACAGTACTATATAAAAATATCCCGATGTTTTCAATCATACCAATGTTAAGACCAAAGCGAACACAAAATTTGTAAATTTTCTTGAACTTACCTGAATTGCGTTATTGAAGGTGGTTTGCATTTCATGCTAGGAACCTTTTAATATCGTAACATTTGTGCAAATTGATTTCAATAATCATATCTCCGATATCTTGATTTTAATTGGGTAAAAATTCGGGTTTTTTTTATCAGCAAATAACAGCGCGATGGTAAATTAGGAACCATTTCAGTGAATTTATTATCTAAACGTTAATATGATTTAGCATTATTTAGCTAAATCGGTTTATGGTCAGCTCCGCATAACCAATACTAGTAACTATTCCCATTTATCATTTTCCACCATTTGTTTACAAACATTCTCCTCTCACAAGACCCGCAAAAATACTCCCCATGGCAACATACGTCATTTCTCCCATGACGTCACTACACGTGGTCTCGTGACGTCACTACTTTTACTCCCCAACTGTCAAGTCATTCTAACAACACAACACAACGCGTCCGGCGGTTTGCATTTCACCTCTTACGGTTTCACCTCTAAAGCTTTTTCACCTCACCTCATTACCTCGTTTGGTGTATGTGGGATGCCTCCAAAAAGGAAAGCGGCGCTGACCCACCGACTGGTGAAGGGTCCGAAAGCCAGTAGGACGGGGGTTAGCAGAAATGTGGATGGAATAGACTTGGAGGCGCCAATTGGCTCACGACTGATCAGCGGAGTACCACAAAACACAGCAGGTACGTTGGATAGTGATTTTGTTTGTATTAATTCGAGCATTATTTTGCATAATGCAAACTCGGCTACCACAGTGCTTCCTACAAATACGGCAATGCTTGCAAACAGCACGCTCACAAACGGGGACACGCAGATGCCGACTGGGGATAGGTCTTCAAACAATGAAGGGCACATAAACATTAGTACATTAGCACGCGAAAACGCACATAACACGCATCCGTCCCGACAACAAACACAAACACTCAATCCTTTCGCAACTATGAATTTAAACGATCCAACCATGTTTGGCATACCCGCGACGAATACACCCTGTCTACAGTTAAACGTCAGAGCGGAACACATCGGATCACATGTTTCCCAACAACGACGGGAAAAAATACACAACGGCGAATTCATTGAGCTAAAACAACTCATAGCGGCCCAAAATCAGACACCCCAAGAGATGTCGGCATTTACATTGACGCTCGACGCCACAGGTCAGATTATTTTTAAACCCAAACAACAACAAACGCGTCCATTAGGCATTGGCGCATGGACATCGGCGTTTAACGTCTACATGAGCGTATACATAGAAAAACACCCGGATAAGATACAGGATCTGCTTACCTACATCGAAACAATCAGGGGAGCTGCTATTAGGTTCGGCGGAGATTCATGGTTGCAATATGACCGTAGTTTCAGACAAAGGATGCAACGCGACCCGTCTCGCTCCTGGTGGGCAATAGATGGCCATTTATGGTTACAACATATGCTTCCAAATCAACAAGCGGCACACGCGCGCGTCACAAACAACACCACTACCACCAACCGCAGCAATCTCAACGCGGGTAGCGAAAATACCGGTAGCATCCCAAAGTTTTGATGGGATTTTAACAAATTCGGATGTACAAGGTCTTTCTGCCGATATGCACACAAATGCATCACATGTGACAGCACTGCACACGGCGCACACACATGCTTTCGTCAAAAAGGGGGCGTTACAACCCCCCGTACTCAAACAAAACCCAACGCAAACAATACCAACTCAAGGCCTAGCACCAACACCCATCAGTATGCGTGTATTGTCACATTGGCTCAGTATTTACACCCCCTTCTACGCATCAGATGCTATGTTTTTATCGGAAGGTTTTTCTCAAGGTTTTCCACTACAGTACACGGGTCCACCGGGTCCTAGAATGGCTTACAATTTAAAATCCGCCCAACAACATCCAAACATGGTGGCAACAATGCTACAAAAAGAAGTTGATCTAGGCAGAATTGCAGGTCCATTTACAGCACCACCATTTCAAGATATGATAGTTTCTCCAATCGGTCTCGTTCCGAAGAAGTCAAATCACAATAATCAAACGTTCAGCAAACGTTCAGACTTATTCACCATCTGTCATACCCTGAGGGAGAGTCTGTAAACGACTACATATCTCACGAGGTGTCAACAGTCAAGTACACTAGCTTTGACCAGGTGCTATCCGCGATACAAGGATTAGGCAAGGGTGCATACATGGCAAAATTTGATATTAAGTCTGCATTTCGCCTCATACCTATACGACCAGATGACTTTAAATTTCTGGGAATACAATTCAAACATAATTTCTACTTTGACAAATGTCTTCCATTTGGCTGTTCCATATCATGTGCAACATTTGAAAAATTTAGCACATTTTTGCAGTGGGTACTCAGGAAATACACCAAAAATGATAACTTACAACATTATTTGGATGATTTTGCATTGGCAGCACTAGCCTCTAATAAGTGTCAACAAACTCTCGAGTCCTCCCTGGAGTTATTACAAAACATGGGCGTTCCCGTCGCAAAGGACAAAACGGTTATACCTACAACAAACATGACGTTCCTGGGTATCACAATAGACACAGTCAAAGCGCAAATTAGCATACCGATGGATAAGGTAGTGCCGCTTACTCAGGAAATAGATACTCTTTTATCACCTTTTAAGAAGAAAACAACATTACACTACTTGCAGTCCTTGGTGGGGAAACTTAACTTTGTATGTAGGGCAATTCCGATTGGTCGCGCCTTTTTAAGACGCCTCATTGACGCACAGCGCGGAGGGTCAAAACCTCACCACAGAATAAGGATAACACAAGGCATACGCGAGGACCTCAATTTATGGCGGCAATTTCTTCAAAACCACAATGGCACTACTGCATTTATAGATTCAGAGTGGATCAATTCATCGGATACACATTTGTTTACCGACGCGTCAGGTAACCATGGTTTCGGAGCCTTTTTCATGGGTAGATGGGCCAATGGCAGATGGCCTAACGAGTCGGTGCAGAATGGATGGACTAAGGACATCACTATGCTAGAGCTTTTTCCAATTGTATTGGCAGTAAGACTGTGGGGTAGACATCTACGAAACAAGCGAGTGTTGTTTGTTTGTGACAACCAAGCAGTGGTAGCAATTATCAATAAACAAACAGCAAAACCACCACGAGTTATGTCGTTGCTTAGGCGCCTGATACTCCTCTGTTTACAACATAATATCTTGTTCAAAGCATCGTATATTCCTACGCATGCAAACGTTATAGCTGATGCACTTTCGAGATTTCAGTGGTCCAGGTTCAAAGAAGCAGCACCGCGGGCAGACGAGATACCAGCACACATACCACAGGACATATGGCAGATCTGACGACAGAGGTGCAACGTCTAGTGCAGTCTTCTCTAGCACTCAACACATGGAACCTGTATGAGTCTGCACAAAAGGCATTTAATGTTTTCCGCATCTCTTTCAGCCTGCCACACATTTGGCCCGCCCCGGTTGATCACCTTATGCATTTTATCGCTCATCTCTCCTTAACAGGAAAATCTCCTCGCACGGCAAAGTCGTATATATCAGCATTAACAACATGGCAAAAGTTACATGGTATGCATGACCTAACATCCCATTTTCTTATTCAGAAAGCCTTGATTGGATTTGTCAGACAGAAACAGAAGGCTGACACTCGACTCCCAATTACAGTTGACTTATTGTCTGTTATTGTGACAGCATTACCGGTAGTTTGTGCTTCAACTTACGAAACGTCTCTTTTCACAGCTGCATACCTGCTTGCATTTTTTGGATTTTTTAGAATCAGTGAGCTGGTGGCAGGGTCAGCCAAGGATTTCTCGCATAGGGCGTGTCTTTTGTCTGATATTCATGTGGCAGCAGATATAAGTCACATAACGATATGTTTACGCTCATCCAAAACGGATCAGGGCGGCAGAGGTGTGCAAATAAAAATAACAGCTATCCCTCACTCTAGACTGTGTCCTGTCAGAGCAATGCAACAGTTTCTATTCATCAGACCACCAGTGCACGGTCATATGTTCGTCCATTTTGATGGACGTCCTTTAACTAGATTCCAATTTCAGTCAATGATAAGAAAGGCCCTGTCATTTTCCTTACCACACCTCAATCTTCATTTGTTTTCGTCACACTCTTTTCGCATTGGAGCGGCTACCACAGCAGCAATTAATGGGGTTAGTTCCAAGCAGATTCAGGAAT